ATAGGAGAAAGGCTCAACTCTCCACTCCTGTAAATGGTTACAGTCTTGGAAACCCACAGGAGGTCACTATGAATCAGCATTGACTCAATGCCAGTGAGTTTGGTTTAGATTTTTGGAGGGACAAACACCCCCAAAGGGAAAAGCACTAACTCAATAGCAGACACGTACTGACTGGTGAAAGCGGGAGTCAGCACCGCATAATCAAGGCAAAGGAAGTCATGAAAAGTACACAGGGTCTAAGGCAACACTAATAAATACAAGTACTTATAGAATCCTGAAATAATGATCACAACAAATCATAAAATGTTAGTGGACAGGTATGCAAACAGAACAGCTATGGGAGGGTATGTGAGAATACGATATGTGCATCGATAAGCGTGGCAGCACATGGACCGGCATTCATGACGGTGCTGGAGAGCAGATTCAAAATGCAATCAAATTTTCCCAGAACTTTGTGAATCACCCTCAAATATCTTCACATATTGCAAGTACACTCATGTACCTAATAAAAAATGTGGAGTACCACGGTCATGAAATTTCATAGACAACACCAAACACCTCCCAGGACGGGAGTACCGGGAAGTGTGAAGGCTAGGACTCATGGTTTCAAGTGGAATCCTGGTCCGTAGGCAGAATACTGCTTACAAAGGTAAACTTTCACATTGTATTTTGTGAATTAGGAAATGCAAAATGTAAAACACTGGCATGTGGCTGTCGAAAAGGAGACTATTGGTCTCGCCCTGTCCAGGGCAAAGGAGAATAAAGATGTAAGTAAACGGTTAAAAAATAGAACAGTCTAAACGTAGTGGGAATATAATGTGTGAGAAAACTCAAATTCATAAACTTACAAGTTGTACTGGCCTGATAGCAACTAGGAACCACCTAGACTAGCGGTTCGCAACCTCTGGGTTGTGACCCCATTGGGAGTTGAATGAGCCTTTCACACGGGACGCCCGATTCATAACAGTAGCAACATGACTGGTATGAAGTAGCAGCGCAAATAATGTTATGGTTGGGGGGTCACCACAACATGAGGAACTGTACTAAAGGGTCGTGGCATTAGGAAAGTTGAGAACCACTGCCCTAGACTACGGTCATTGCACCCTCTGTTCACTTTGAATTCAAGCTATCCTCATAAATCACCATTCAGACACAAAAAGCCAGGCATATACAGTGAGCATCACCGTCCAGGAGGACCATGGTCCTCAGAGTAATAAGCTAATACTCAAAGGGCAACATTTTCCCCAAAGTAAAATTAAGAAAGCATGACGGGTAGAAAAACTCAGTTAATGGAAATAGAGACTACTAAGTACAAGTGGAGAAAATGTGGGAATTATTACTGATATCACAGAACAATTTGTATATAAACAGATGAATGGGAAATGACTGCGCTTTGTAACCCTCCCCTTAAGCCACAATAAGATTTCTTCAAGAAAGAAATTATTCTTTTAAATAAAGAAACCAAATCAAAACTTCTGAAAAGAAGTTTTCACAAGAGGAAGAATGTAGAATCAGAATTGGAGAAAAATTTCCCAGGACCCTGTGATACGCAAATGGAACAAACTTACTTGATATGCAAGTACCCTGTGATATGCAAATGGAACAAACTTACTTGCTGGAAGTGAAGAGCTTTAGAAATACTGACCCCTGAAGATCACAAAAAAACAACCACAAAGGCTCACAACAAGAAAAAGCGCCATCATTATAAATGGAGAAAAGTTCGGAGTTGCCAAGGGCTTCATGTTACTTGAATCAACAATCTACACTCAGGAAAGCAGCCATGAAGAATCCAATAACGTGTTCCACTGGCAAATTTGCTATAGAAAAACCTCTTTCAAGTTCAAAAGCACAGATGTCACACTGGACAAAGGTGTGCCTGACATAAGCCAGGCCATTCTTAAATGCCTCACATGCATGTGCATCCATATTTGGCATGAAATCACATTTTCCCATGGCAATGGTAGCATGCTTATACCTTTTAAAAGGACGTGCATTTCTGGAAGACTGAAAACATCAATCACAGTGTCAATTACATGATTTTCCAAAAGATCAGGCCTATTTTTACCATTATATAGCATCCCAACACAGAGGAAAACCTGGTGTAAGAGTGGTGTGACTCTGTCAGTGCTGATTTACATGGATTTCAACGACATTCAGTACAAGGAAAGAAAACTACAGGTGTCTCCTCCAGATGCTGTTTTAAAGTCAGCCACAGAATTATATTGGATGAGGTCTTTTTATCTCACTTATAATGTTATCTCTTCTAGTAATCATGGGAGGCATCCACAGGTAAAAACATATAAGTGTGATAAATTTTTATATGCAGGCTAATTCTGGAATCATGTAGGCAATAAAAAAGCCAGTAACCTGTCACAAAGGGCATTTTGTAATTTCATTTGCACATTTAGAGAACACGAGCACAGCCATCCCATAATATCCGAATGCCTAGATTTAAGCAGCGCATCTCAGAATGACTCTTTTCTTTTAGTATTATTGTTTTTCTTTTAGTTCCGTAGTAAGAAGGGCAGCCGACATGTCATTGAATGAAGGTGCACCTTGTTCGATATGACTTATTTGCAACTCTTTGATAGGAGACTTACTTGTTTAGTGTGACTACACTCAGAATAATGTCAATCTATTTTTTCCTGAGAAGATAGTGAGTTGTGTAGTGGTCAAGTTTGAAGCTGCACATATAAAATAATATTATTTTGACCCATGCTCAGATTCACTGATTTTTGTAACAGTGACAGCAAAATTGTTACAGTCAAATGACCATGTGGAAGTGTTATTTTCAGAATATCAGATTCACGATGTAATGAATGGTACACTTGGTATATCTGCTCACCCCCTCATATTGAGAATGAAATGTATTAGTATCAGGATTTGATGAAGTGAAATTGATTAATGATGGCTCTTCTAGTCATGCCTTTGTCACTACTCCCAAATGACTGGGCAGAAACCTGCAGATACGGTGTGTGAAATATCATTAGGGGGACTGGTTAACTTTGCCATTCCTCTGGGTATAAGCATGCTAGCTCAGAAGCAAAGGGAGGGAATCCTGTGATTATCAAGATAGAAGAGCCACCAGCAGAGTGTCTTCGAGATCACTGTCTGAAAAGTTGGAGGCAGTAGAGGCACCAAGGTTGCAGCATAGAGACCATCAGTATCTGGAAACAAGTATTTCTTTCGTAAGCCACAATTAATTTATAGATTTCTGATTTATCTGGTTGGCATCCTCATGTGGCAATACTTTTTATAGTAATCCAAATCAAATCTAAATCCAAGGTGAAGATCCAAATATAATACTTAGCAGGTGGCTCTGAAGCTTGCTCTCTCTCTCTCTCTCTCTCTCTCTCTCTCTCTCTCTATGTATAGCCACAGCCCTCTTCACCAGCCACATGCACACCTTGTAAAACTCTCCTGCAGGCATATCTGGGCTCCTTTGATGTCACAGGGAGGAACAAGAATCAATCAAGGCTGATCCCTATGAGACAGCGGTTAGACATGCCTCCACCTTTCTTCCCTTTTATTATACCACCAACTATCCTTCCCAAAGCACTTTACATCTCTGCTGGACTCTAAGATTCATTGCAATAGTGACATACAAGTCACAGACAATACTCATAACTATGGGGTTTATTAGGAAGTTAATAGGTTACAAGTTATGAACAGAAATGCCCAGGACACAACAGTTCTCCAGCCAGAGATGTCTTTTCTCAGCGATGCCTGCAGGCAAACCTTTTTTAGTTTCTCTCTGGTCCAGAGCGTCTCCATCACAGGACCTTTTGGCCTCTTCTTTTCTTGAGCAATGTTAGAAAGCTCTTTTAGCACTACCAATAAACACTCAAATGGCATGCCACACTATGATAAACCATAGCCAAAAGGCACTTGGCTGTAGTTCCTGGGTCAGCAAATGAACTCCACAGATTAAGTACCTGGAGGAAATCCAGTCTTTCTGTGAGACACCTGCCTGTAGGCCCTCAGTAATATGCACTCCGGGGGCCTACATGTCCACCACACTCTTCTGTTCTCCTAGTGCTGCTCTTCCTTCTGCTGCCCCCTCTCTTTCATCTCTTGCCATCTCCAGCTCGGTTTCCTGGTCCAACAAAACTCAACCCACAGGCAACTCAAGCTCCAAAGGATGTGCTCCCCTCCGGGCTCTTCTTTCTTGTTGGTAATGAGCTCTCCCTTTTCTGCTTCTGAGATCGCTCATTTGAACTCGGTGGCATGGGAAAACTGACAAATTCCCTTGTCAGAGTGCCATACACCTTCCTGCATGGGTCACCCATTCATTTGGTGGGAGTTACAAAGACCCTGATCAGAAGAACCATATTTCCCTGCTCTACATCCCAACTAGAAATAGATGATGATGATGACGATTTTCAGTTTAAAAGGCAGTCCGTTCTTATGTTATTGAAAGCAATGTAATCTACAAATATTGTTGAAAATATTAATTGAAATCGATTGTATTTTAAAAGAAAGAGCTTGAAAATGACAATAAACGACTTATTTGGGGGCTTCATGCCACTAAGTTCATGCTTCGTGCTGTGTATAATAGGTTTTGACTCACAAATTGTCTTTCCTATTTTCACATGCATACCTTATATCATTATTTGTCTCTTTGAGATACAAAAATATTTACTTTTGTTCTGTAATCTAAAATTTGTGTAAGATATTGGTAAATGCACAAGCTAAAGAACTTTGCAACTCAATTAATCATATTTAATCTGTCTTTTGTTTGTTTGCTTGCTTTTCCTGAATTTTAAAAATTGTTCTAAAGAGTGAAGAACCTTTTGACAGCAAAACTAGTTGGCAGTACTTTTCTTACAACATTTTTAAAAAATACATAGACTTTTGAAAATATTATTCAGCCAGACATGTAGAAGGAAGAATGAGTATAGAATGTCATATATATTGCGTTTATTTATTTTTTAATTCCTGAAAGTTTTAAAATTGTTTTCATTGTTAATAAAGATTTGATGCAAATTAATATGCAATACCTTCTGGAGACATCTCGGGTACAATGGCCTCATAAGGTCCATCTAGGAATTTGGGTTCATTGTCATTGATATCCGAAACTCTGATGACAAATTCAGACTCGGGTTCCACAGCCTGTCCAGTAGTGGTGTCTGTTACCTGCGCTCTCAGCGTGTAGAGGGAACGCTCCTCTCTATCCAGTTTCTGCACAGCGTATAAGTCACCTGTGTTGCTGACAATTTCAAAAATAGTCCCAGCGCCTTCTCCAAACAGCTGGTACTGGAAAGATTTGTTTCCATTGTCTATGTCAGATCTGAGCTGCAAATACAAAAAGGATCTACTTAATTCCCTGTGGTGTTCAAATGAACAGGTGAATTTAAATGCTTTTATTTTAGGGCTTCTCCTTGTTTTTCCCCAAGTGAACAGTTCTGTTTTCCCAAGTTAATAATCCTATGTATTTTCCAAATTTTTTAAAAGGTAAAGTATTGGTTTCACCTTAAACTCTGTCTCCAGATAGAGGAAGGAGACATTGAATTATTCATGTGAATAACTACACAGATTTTATGACTCAATTGAAACAGTTCCAATGAGAAATTAAGATAACTGAAGAACAAATAATTTTTCAGACATAATGAGCAAGGAACTTGGTTCAAAATTGCACAATTGCTTACCTTCTTGTGCACTGAAACCATATTTTTCACATATTTACATAGGTTAGGCCCCAGAGACCAATAAACCCCAACCAAACTCACTGTCGTTAAATTGATGCTGACTCACAGTGACCCTTTAGAATATAGACAGGAGTAGAAAACCCCATCTTTCTGACTAGAGACTGATAGGGGAATAATCATCTGAGTAATCTTAAATATGAGGTTATGCAGGCAAGCTGAAAATGGATAGAAAATATGGAAATATTGGAAATAAAACTGGGACACTTGATGAAGAGATAACAGGCTTATTCATGTATTGACTACTAATTACATATCATAAAATCCTCTAATCACTCTGTTAATTGTCTCAATTAATTCTCATAACATTATGAGATACTTTATTATTGATATATTCAAGTTTTTTGGTAGATAAAAAGTTTTAGACTGGTTTAAAAAAAAAAAGACTTGGGAAAGTTACGTAGCTGCTTTATAAATTCATAATGTATACCACAGATTATCTGATGATCCCAACTTCTCCATTAACCATTGGGAGACATACTTTTAACACTTAATCCAGCCAGATTTCAACCCCTATTGCCTCTGAACATATTCTGCTCAAAGATCAAGTATGCATGTCCTTCTTCTGCCCTCCTTCCTTCCCCTTTTAAGAAGCATATGTGTTCATCTCTCACAGTTTCATAAAGGGCATTATTTTAAATGTTCCCTTGTATATGAAAACTTAAAGTCTCCTTTCCATCTATTGAACCTCACTAACATCATTAGCTTTCACTTTAACATAAATAAAAGAGGGATTTCATGATCCCTAATTATTTTGATATTTTTTCTTGATTCTCTGTTTATGAATATACTTATTCTCTAAGTAGAAAGCTTTCCTGAAAACTCACAAAGTTAGCCAAGACACACAATTCTAGGCAAAAGATGACTTTTCTGTTGACTCTATTTAAAATTTATCAATTTCAATGAATTAATAAGAATTTAATGTGATTGCAGAGACAATCTGGAAACATACAACTAATGAAGCATTTCAATAATGTGTAGATATCACTGTTAATCAAGGAAAGAAGCATATTGGGGAAATAAATCATTCCTACAATTTCATTAACATTGTTAACATAAGCTATAATTCCTTAATCATAATGATGACATTTTTTCTTGATTCTCTCTTTAAGTATATTCTTTTCTCTAAGTAAAATGCTTCCCTGAAAACTCAGAGAACTGTGCTAATAACCTGTGAGATGCACTTAAGCACTTGCTGATGAAGATCAAGGATTTTAGGCTTCTGTGTGGATTACAACTGAATATAAGGAAACCCAAATCCTCACAACTAGACCAATAAGTAACATCATGATAAAGCTTGAGGTGATCAAAAATACGTAACATCATGGTAAAGCTTGAGGTGATCAAAGATTTCATCTCGCTTTGATCCACAGTCAATACTTATGGAAGCGACATGACCTGTGGCACAAGACCTCTTTAAGATGTTGGAAAGCAGGGATACTACTTTGAGGACGGAAGACCCAAGCTGCAGTGTTTTAAATCACCTCACCTGCATGTGAAAGTCGGGCATTGAATAAGGGAGACAAAGATGATCAGACTCATCGCACATACTTTGGACATGTTATCAGGACTTATCAAAAACAAAAACCCACTGCCATCAAGTTGATGTTCACTTACAGCTATCAACCTGGAAAGGACAGAACCATCCATGAATTTCCAAGACTGAAAGTGTTTATGGGAGTAGAAAGCTCTGACTTTTTTCCAGCAGAGCTCCTGATGGTTTTGAAATGCTGATCTTTCAGATCCCTGCCCACTGCAGAACCACTTCACCACTAAAACTCCTCAGGAGAGACCAGCCTCTGGAAAAGGACATTACGCTTGGTAAAGATGTGAGGCAGCAAAAAGCAGATGTCTCTCAATGAGATGGGCTGACACAGTGGTTGCCATGATGGTTTCGAACATCACCACAGTTGTGAGGATGGCACAGGACATGGCAGTGGACCACGCTGCTGTCCGGAAGGTTGCTATCTGGGTCAGCACGGACTCGATGGCACCGGACAACAAACAACCATATCGACTTTCTGATGGCAGAGTTCTCCATTTTGTTTCCATAAATTTTATGTGTCCTTGTTGAGTCTCCAAAGAACAACAGATAGTAATCGAACAGTTTCTACATGTACAGATTAGGGGTATTGATTCTCTTTTGAATTATGTAACCCTTCCTACCCTACTATTTTGGAATTGCTCCTCCTTCATTAACATAATCCTGTTGCCCCTAAAGCTTCATTCTCATCTTTCAAATTTCTGTAGTCAATATAATCCCATAGAGATGATTCTTAAAAGAATATAAAATCAAGATAGACTCTTATAGTACTTGAGCTACACTATTTGGTTTTATGAGGATTTCTGGAGATATTTCTTGGTTTGAGGCTTAAGGATTGTCACAGGGCAGTAGTTTCCTGAGTTATGCCACTGGTGCCTCCCCGCCTCCCACCCCCCACCCATGGCTCCAGAAAGTCTAGAGTTTGTGAGAATTTTAAATTCACTTCTCCATTTTTTTTCTTTTTGATCTGAATTCTCCATTGATACTTGATCAGAAGGTCCAGAGCTGCCAGGCCGTCCTGGTTTCATGGCAAAGGAAGCAATGGTTCAGGGAGGCAATGAGCTGCATCTCCCGCAGCCTCTCTTCTCCCTGCGCATTCCTTCTCCCTCGGTTGTTCAAGGTGAGTAGAAACCAATTGCTAGAACCACTCACAGCCTTTTAGTAACCTGGACACTATGCCACAAATTATAAGGTAGAACAGAAGCACTAAATGTTTTATTAACTGGGATTCCCTCTAACTCCATGACTTTAAACCTCAAACCAAGGAACCAAAGCCCGGAGATTTGGGGTTATTCATAAGCAACCTTAGTACTGTGTGTGCATGGGTGTGTCCGTTTGTCTGTCATTGTACAATATGAATCATTTCAACTCAACTTTCTATAGGTGCACAACTTATGAACATCAATTGCAATAATGATCTGTGTAACCTTACTTCCTGGGCTACTAACTGCATGGTCAGCAGCCTATCCAAAGGAGAAGGACGAGCTTTTATTCCCCAGAAGTGTCTTTGGAAACCCAGGGACGCAGGTCTAGATCGTCCTGTGTGGACTCCATGGTGGTGACTTTGGTATCTTTGGTTTTGAGTCATTCTAGTGGGAGTGCACGGGCATCTCATTGTGGTTTGCGTTTACATCTGTCTGATGGCTAAGGACACTGAGCATCTTTTCATCTGGTCATTTGAATTCCCTCCTTGGTTAAATGTTACTACAGTCCTTTGCCATTTTCTGACTAGTTTATTGACCTGTTTATTGTTAAATTATTAATGTTTGATATGTGTTTTGATGACTAAATCTTGGTCAGATATATGGTTGGTTTCTGAATATGATCCCCTAGATGGTAGCTTGTCGTTTCACTTATTGGATAATGGTTTTGTTTGAAAAAAAAAGTTAATTGTTTTGACGCACTATTTATGTTTCCTTTAGCTATTGGTGTTTTATTAGATCCTCTGTTGTTGAAAGCTATGCTTAATAGTGTTGCCCCTGCTTATTCTTCTGAAAGTTTTGTGCTTTTAATTCATACATGTAGGCCCTTCATTCATTTTTTATTTGTTTTTCTTTATGATGTGAGGCATGGATCCTGTTTCATTCTTCTATATGTAGAGATATCATTTTCCCAGAACCATTTATAGGTGCACAACCTATGAAAAGCAGTTACAAAAATTATCTGTAACCTTGCCTTAATCAATGCTGTTCTTCCTCCCATTAAATGGATTTACCTTCTTTATATATACCTAGCATCCTTATATATAAATCCATATATAAGGATTTGGCATCCTTATAAATACTACACCATGGATGTGTGGGTTTATTTGTGGACTTTCTATTCCATTCCATTAGTCTATGTATTTATTGTCAGAACAACACCAGGGCCACCCCAGTGTTTTCAGTGCTACAGCTGTATTTTAAAAATCAAACAAACTGACAGTTAATTATGACTTCTTTGACACTATCTTTGGTTCAGAGATTATAAATCTTTACCAGTGCAGACAGCTTCATTTTTCTGTAGTTGAGCAGTTAGTGGATTTGAATGGCAAACCTGTCCGTTCAAAATAGTAAGATCTAACCCACAGAGCTGCCAGACGTCCATACAGCTGGACAATATGTTTCAGAATCAAGAAGTGTGAGTCCTATTTTTTCATTTTCTACTTTATCCATCTTCCTTCCCATATAAGTAAATTATTGTTTGAGATTCCCCCGCCCCCCACCCCTTTTTAAGTGATGACTGTTGGAATTTTGCTTGTGATTGAATTCAATCTATAGGTCACTTTTGACAGTATTGGCATCTTAATAATATTAAGTCTTCCAAATCATAAACATGCAACCTCTCTCCATTTATTTAGGTTTTCATAATGTCTTTCATCAATATTCTATATTTTTCATGGTATAACTCCTTTATGTCCCTTGTTAGATTTATGTCCAGATACTTTATGTACATGGATGCTCCTTTATATGGATTGTTTCACTAACATAATGCATGGAAATGCAACTGAATTTTAGTTTGTTAACTTTTTATCCTGAAATCTTGTTAAATTTCTCTATTAGCTCTAGTATTTTCCTTATGGATCTGTGATTTTCTATATATAGGATCATACCATCTGTTATCATTATGTTTTGTGTTAGCTTGGCTGAGTCAGTATTCTCTGTGGTTTGGCAGTTAAAGGCTGTAATCCCTGATGATAGGACACTCTGATGATCACAATACAATGTGATCAAGTCCAGATTATGAGTAGCCAATCAGATGTAAGCTGAGTCTTCAGGGCAACCCTCTTACTCAGGTCACAGTCCTGAAGCAAATGAAAAGATGTTTCCTCCGGGGTGTGGTCTACTTCCACTCTAAGGACACTATGCAAAAGCTTCCTTCCTCTTTGCTGGGCCTGGGTCCTGCATCAGGCTCATCAACCTCCAGTTGTTTGGACTGGAGCCAACTCATATTGACAGTTGATCCCAAGAGCCATCAGGGGCCTGCCATCTAATCTACTCAGCCTGGATTCATTCATCTCTCCACTCAAACGCCTGACCTCCTAACCTTGAATTTACCTGCTTCTTCACCTGTGGTGTCTCAGACAGGACTTGCCTGCTTCCACAACTGTGTGACCATTTTCTTGACATAAATCTCTCTCTCTCTCTCTCTCTCTCTCTCTCTATATATATATATATATATATATATATAGCCACCATCTTCCCAGAATTCTTATAGTGCTTCAACTTAGGTAATCTTTCACCACTCATAAAATTAAAAAGCAAATTTATATGCCATAATGTCAATCTGGTATTTTCAGATATTTAAAAAAATATACATGCCTATCAGAACATCAGATGAAAGGATTAATGCCTCTTATTCTGTGTATGTAGTTCTTACATGTATTTAGAACATGCTACTCAGTACTAGAAGAGGAATTGAAATTAATGATGAGTAAATTTACTTCCAGTATATTCACAGTGTAATTTTTATACACCAGTGGGCCTGGGATTTTTCAGGATCAAGAGTGAAGAGAAAACCGAACCAAACCATTTGAACAGCCTTACTCCCTAATGGCGTAACACTGACATAAGAACATTTCAGTCTTATGCACTGTAGTGTTATGAAATCTCCTGTAATCCCATTCCAAATTTTTTTCTCAACTAGCGAGCTACTATCAATTTGGTAAATGAATGCCACTTCAAATTGTCAGCTAACTGTGCTGAGTCCTGGTCAACTAGGTGACCAAAGAGGTCATTTGTTTATTTGCTTGTTTTGGTACTTAGCAAACTGAATCGCATCCATCAAATCCTTCACAAAGTGAGCCATCTTTTTAAAGGCGGTCACATTTACTTTCCTAGCTGTTGAACAAGGAGCCACGGTGGCGGTGGCGCCATCAGGTAAGTGTTGACCTGCTGACTGGAGCAGGTGAAAGGTGCGGCTGTCTGCTTCAGCAACTGAGGGACAGTCTTACATGTCACCTGATGGCTCTGCTCCGCGCTGGGGCTGCCTGTGAGTTGGCAGGGTCTAGAGGGCGGTGCAGTGGTTGTTTGGGGGCGCGTGTTCAAGGGCGCTCCTGAACGGCTAGCACTGCAGCACTACCACGGAGGTCTTTGAAACCCGTTATCTGTATGTTCTTTTCAGGCAGTTGTAAAAATAAAGGGGTTGTGGGACATTTGGTTAGAGGCTTTTCATAAAGATTTTCACAGAATGGAATAAAAAAAATAGAAGGCAAAACCAATCACGGTGTGAAATGAAGCAGGAGATTCGTGCAGGGAGCGGAAGCCAACTAGTAAACTGGAAAATATGACAGCCGCCTAGGGAACTTGTCTTTGTACCCTGCTGGCCAGCTTCCCTGTAGCGCCCCTTTACTGAAAGGCAGCAGCCAGCGGCCGCCCCGGTCACCCAGCCAGGGACTGGCCAGCGCGAGGTGCTCTGCGGGGTCCTTTGCAAAGGAGGCTGCAGGGACTCAGTAACTAGCAGACACTTAACTGGGGGTCTCTTTACACCTGCACACACGCGCCTGTGATGTGCCTGGGAATCATCACCGAAAAAAGGGGTGGCGGGATCGGGTGGGGTAGTGAGCAGAGCTTTGAGAGCCCTTTGCCTGGAAACGCAGAGTGTCTTCTCAGGCTAGGCCACATTTTAGCGTCCCTGGCTGGCTAATTGGATGGGTGAACTCTTTTGGAAGCCAGATGCGAGGATAACACCCCAGTCCTCCTGAAAAGAGCCAGGAACAAGAGAGTTAATGAATTTTGAGTGTTTCACCCTTTGGGCCCAATTAAATTTTAGTGCCTGTTAATTAGCGGTTAAACTTATTTCAGTCCATCCGTCTAGAGACAGTGCCTTATGGAAAGGACCATGCTATTGTAATTACCGTGGTTTAAAGAAAGCCAAATAATATTAAAAACCAAAAACAAATAGATGTTCTGTCTCATTAAGGAAACTTTTTCCCCTAAAAGATCGTCTTTGCATAAAGTGAAAATAATTATCCTTTGTCCTCCAGCACCACTGTTCAAATGAAACGTGTGGGCTTCCGTTGCTACTTAGCAGGGAAAGGATTTGGTATTAATCTGCTTCATTAAAAGCTAATGAGGGGTAAATCAACAGCTACTTAGCGTAATAGAAGGGAAGGCTAAATATTGTTGGTAAATGAGATTGTACTCTTCCTGCTGCTTTCATCAATTACCAAAAATAGCGTCATCAAACGTCCAGATGTTGATAAAACCGGGCCGCAATGATAACAGGAGGGCTGCGGTCCCTCTGGAGACAGAGATGCACTTCCTCAGGGACAACCTGAGCTCCACCTCCCCTTGGAGTTTTGAGGGGATGCTTAGGTATTTGTAAGTCTGAGACCCCTGTATGATTGTGTTTGGGGTTAACTGAGATAATGTATAGTTGCATCAAATACCCCCACATTTGGAAATTAATTCATTCACCTTTCATAAAAAATAGTGTCCAAGCAGTCTCCAGGTGGTGAGTGACTATTGACATACAACTTGGAGGTAAGACCCAAACCCCTATAAAGTCCATTATAATAAAAATATGAATTAATACTAAACACCTCCTGAGACTGTGAGACAAACAGACATGTCTGTCTCCCAAGAGGAAGGTGCTGAGCTCGAACTGCAGACCTTGCCATGAACAGCCCAGTGCTTCATCCACGATGTCACCGGGGCTCCAAAGTTTATACAGGCGTCCATCATAGCAATGGATGTCACTCTGTGGTGCAAAGCTAAACATCGCCATCATTATTTTTTACTGTATTGTTGTGTTTCAAATGGATCTGGAAGTGTTTCTTCAGGGTTTTTAAAATTTTAATCCACTGAATGATATCCTACATACTTTATTCTAAAATAAACCTTTGACTCATTGAAGTTACACACGAACACTAACTAGCCATTTTGATTGACGTGCAAATTTGATTTAGAGACTTTTTTTTAGAACAGAAGTCACTCATCACGCGAGGAGTGCCTGGACTGTAACCCTCTCAGAAGATAGTTACCCGGCCAATGTGATAGCTGGTCGTATTCATCTCCTCTGGGACGAAAAACTGGTTCCACACCCAGCCGCGCTTCGCTCGAACATGAGATCCCACAGACTGCTTCGCTTCCTTTGCTTCTACGTGTCCTGTGGCTGCAAGGCAGTGTTGCAGCAGAGGAATTCCAACCATTAAAGGTATCAGGAAGAAACGATTCATTCTGATGTCTCCTTTGATCCCAGCTGATACTCTCCCGAGGAAATGGTAGACGATGTAAACAAATTTCTTGTGTTATCTTAGCGTGCTTTTTAAAAAAGTTATTAAATGGATTTCATATCCCTAAAGTACAAGAAACAAAATAAAATTTGACATAAGTAAAAATAGAATTATCTCACAAAAATCCTAAAGATTAGTTATGATTTTCACATCCTTAAACTTATGTGAGTAAAACTTACGTGAGTAAATGGGACAAGACATATGTTTATTTTATCATCCAATTTTGCGAGCTCATTTTATTTTGCAGTTCAGATATCAATTGAGTGGAATAATTATAAAGATCTATACAGGCACCATTCATGTTGAGCCCCAGTCATCAATCTGACTGACTGTTGACAAGTTGATCTTCCAGTCTCCTTGGTTGACAGCTGACATTAAGATAGACAGGGTGTTCTGGTTAGCTTTTTGTGTTGGTTGTTGTTTTCTTCTTTTTTCTTTCTTTTTTTGTTTAAGCCTACTTATTTCCACCTTTCCACTTCAATACAATTCAATCCTTCCTGTTAAAGCAGCATCCAAGCAAAAGGAAAAGTCTCAGTTTTCAGTTTTTTGTCTACAGTAGAAATCTTTTGTCTTATCCAACTTTATAATTATGATAGTCTATGTACTCAATGAAATTTTAAAAAAGGAAATTTTGACCTAATGCCTTCTTGGATTTATTAGTAAGTTATAGCGATGCTATAAACATTCTGACTAGACAGTCTATGCAAAAGTTGTTTTGTTATATTGTGGAAGATATGGGGACTACGCTTTTTTATCTTAAAGAAACAAACTGATTTATAGGGGATAAAATTATAGTGCCTGAGTAAAATTGACTTAATGTTTATAATATGTTAGATGAAAATGAATGGTACCTTCAGGTATATTTAGTAAACATTATGCTTGGTAAAGTAGAAGATCAACAATGACAATACCCTCAATGAGATGGACTGACACAATGGCTGGAACCATGGGCTCCAACATAGCAGTAATTATGAGGGGGGTGCAGGACCAATTGCAGTGTTTCTTTTTATTGACCATAGGTCCTGCCTTATGTGTTGGAACCTACTGGATGGCCCTTACCAACAGCAATAACATACTGAATAGCAACAATGGTTTGTATTCTATAGCTAACCTAAAAACTGGCAACATCATGGGAAAAGGCCCTGCTGAATTCATTCTAGAGGAATTACGACCAAGACAACTGATGGAGAAGGTCTACTCAGCAACAGGCGGTCATCATGAGTAGCTGGAATGGGCTTGGTAGCAACAGGTTTGCTTTAGTGTGTGTGTGTCGTGTATACATTTATAAATTCCCAGCATACCTAGTTTTACATTAAAACGTTCAGTTTGCTCAAAATTATCCCTGAGTGATCCCACACCAAAAAAAGTCACTACCATTCCAAGTAATAATGGCTCTATAAAGTTTGTAAGATGTATAGATCTCTATGGGAGTAGATAGCCTTGTCTTTCTCCCATTCAAATGTTAGTGAGTTTGAACCAGCAGCCTCATGGTTAAGCAATCCAATGCTTACCATCAGTGTCATCAGGGTTCCGTATCTCTGGATGTTACAAAGAGTCAATGCCCTTATCTGCTAACCAAAAACTTGTGGTTCTAGACAATCCAGAGCTGCCTCAGAAGAAAGACTAGTGGATTTACTTCTGAAAACCAGTCATTGAACTGCCTGTGGAGCACAGCCCTACTCTGAGACCCATGAGGTCTTCATGATTTGGGATCCACTGGAAGGCAACTGTTTTATTTCTTTTGCTTTTACCAGAGAATGCTCTGAACAACTTTGAATTGATGCATATTCCTTACCTATATAAGTATAGGAAATCTCTGGGTTATGAACATTGGAATCACAGACAAGTCACTCTTGCCCTTTGATATTACATAAATTTTCCCTGGTCTGGAAAAGTTAGAACCAAATTTACTAGTACTAAGCTCTTCTTCACAATTACCTTTCCTTGCTGCATGCACAACTTTTAAATTATTGAGAAGACATTGAGCCTTTTCAGGCACTCTCCACTGTGGTCTAGTCCATTCTGAATCACAGACAGCCTTGATGGCAGAGTAGAATGCATGTAGGGATTCTGTGGCTGTAATCTTTAGGGGAGCAGAAAGCCCTGTTCTCCTGCACAGTTGGCTGTGAATCTTAATTGTTGACCTTGTGGTTAGCAACTCAGTGTTTAATTCATTGTGCCACCATGATTCTAAAGTTAAATAAGAACCATGTATACCTGTCCTTCACTACCTACAAAACATTCACATAAGGCCCCACTTAGAAGCAAATAATTTGGTACATAATTAGAGACTGCCAGTAATTGCAGTTAAAGAGTTCTTGCATTGTCTTCTTCAGCATGGCATCTCAATGATCGGGCCAAGTTTCTCAATTGCAATAGTTTTCTTGGGACTTATAAACACATATAGTTTTGCAGGTGCTACGATAAAGTTTAGTACTTTATTATCTTCAGAATCATCAGAGAACTCCCTACACCTTTTAGGAGACTACTATGTGATCCTCTTCCAAAAAGTTTTCAGTCCTCCCGATAAAGTTTAAAACAACCCCTAGGGGATTTCCAGGTCTTCACCTCTTGTTTGGGAAAGTTGTTTAAAAATATCTAATTAGGTAAGGATGCACTCTCCTGCACAGGGTTTCTCTGCCCTCTCCTCTACAACCTCTTCATGCAGAGGGATGTTTTGTTACACATTTAGCTAATGAGGATCATGGGGATATTCAGAAAACATTTAAATCACAGATGAATTTCAACTTTATATTAAATATTTGACATTCAAGAAATGTCTGTTCAGAAATGTGTGAAATATACATATTGTTGATAAATGATTAATAATAAAATCATTTGGAATGAACACAATTTTCTTAAGAAGGATGATGCGTATAAATTTGCACACATTTGCAAAACGATAGCACTATGAGGATATATGGCTCTGATTTTGTGGTGAGCATTGGTCTTTTGTCTACTTAATGTTACGACATTTTGAAGCATGTATACATAAAGAAGTAATCTAGTTTAAATAATTATCAATACCTAACCAATCTCACTTTGTCCATTGCATTTTATAAATTAAAGTATTTTGTTACATCATTTTATCCATTAACTCTACACATCCATTGTCTATCTCATAGGTATATATTTTTAAAGAGATCTACCCAAATCAAACCAAATCCATTGCTATCATGTGAATTCTGATGCATAGAGACCTGATGGGGCAAAGCAGAACTGCCCTATATACTATACTTACGTATACAAATATATGCACACATACATATGTAAATATGTATGTATTGGTATATTTATATCACAATCATAATTTTAAAATTAAGAATAAGTGTTTAACGTATCCAAATTAGTACTCATACTGAAATTATTAAACATTAATTCAACTACGCTCACCAAGTAAAATATTTTGAACAGCTCTGAAGTCAGTTTTAGTCCAAAGCCTAAAACCAAACTCAATGCCCTGGAGTCCCTGTTGCTTCATTCACAGGACCCCCTGTGGATTTCTGAGACTCTAATGGTTTTTGAGGCAGAGCCCTGTCTGCCTCCTGGGGAGTTGGTGGTGGTTTGGAACTGCGGACCATGCAGATCACAGCCCAACACGTGACCACTACACTAACCAGAATGCTCAACCTCTTAAATTTTTCTTTACAATCTATGTTGTAAGAACAAGCTTGTTTATAGTATACATTTGTAAAGATTTTTTCTTTTTCTAACTTCACCATTTAACAAACAAATAAACTCAAACCCACTACCATGGAGTCAACTCTGACTCAGAGCAACCCAATAGGATAGCTTAGAACTATCCTCTGGGTTTCTGAGGCTGTAAATCTTTAGAGAACAGAAAACCTCATCTTTCTCTCTGGAGTGGATGGTGACTTTGAACTGCTGACTTTGAGGGTTAGTAGCCAAACTGGTAACTCAAGATGACACTAGAGTTGCCAAATTCCCATAGTTTGATGTGTTCATTTACCCCTTGTCTTTCCTGTAAACTACTACAAAGTTTATCAAATGTAAATTCACACTGTTGGAAAGAATACATGTACTTGATGCATTAAAATTCTTGTGCATCTAAACTAGATGAGCATAATACTTAGTTGTTTTACATTTTATTTCTACTGTTGTTGTCACTCTTAGGGCTCATATTTTCTAGGTGGGATATGAGCCCTGGTTGTGCAGTGGTTACAACTTGGCCTGGCAATCTCAAGGTCAGCTGTTCGAAACCACCAGCGTCTTCGAAGGAGAAAGACAGGGCTTTCTACACCTGTAAAGAGTTACAGTCTCAGAAACCACAGGGACAGTTCTCGCCTGTAATACAGGGTCGATCAGAGTCTCAATTGACTTGATAACAGTGAGTGAGGCTGCATATATTTATTATGAGTTTCTTAGTCAATCTTATTTTTAAAGTTTGCAGAGGGTTGATGATCATTGATACTTCAATCCAATATTTTAATGAGCACATACTATGATAGTCTCCAGGACTGTAACTGTTTACAGGGGTAAACAGGGGTAAAAAGTCTTGTCTTATCTTTATCCCACTGAGAGGCCAGTGGTTTCAGAATACTGAACTTGTGGTTACCAGTGCAACTCATAGCCACTATACAGCCAAGATTCTCGTTATTAATCTTTTGAATCTGAATTTCTTCATACTTTAAAATAAAAACAAGGAAAATGAGTGAAATACAAGAAGTGGGTGTCTATGAATAATGTAAGAGTGTAGGTTTGTTTCTACTCTTATTCTTCCAAAGTTTTGTCATTTTCATACATCTCAGGAGAGGGAAAAACATTTCAACTAATGGTCCATCTCTGATTGAGGATTCATGGCAGCTGTCAGCAGTGTTAGCCTGTGGAAGACTCTGGACCAAGCCCAAGTTAAGCAAGGGAAAGTGGGATCAGCTAGTGAAGTGTGACACGGGCCCCAGAGAGACAGGCAGTGGCATTTTGTCCCTGTGTTGACTCTCCTCCTTAAGGTTTCCACTCATGGATCAAAAACCCTGCATCACCTTCTGTGAAGAAATGCCGCTGCTTGCTGCATGTCCCATTTAGTCTGCATACCTATAGCCTCT